CCTTAAGGTGTGAAAAAGCTGTGTACTGCCTTTTGTTCCTGTGGAAGGTATTTAACTGAGAGCCATGCTAAGCTCAGAGAGACTATGCTGACCGTCTGCCCCGCGGTCATGCAGGCTCTCCACCAATTTGGGCTGGAAAGAGCTCTTTAATCAATACCATCATTAATGAGAAGAATCTTTTGGCCACTGGAATAATCAGTGCATGCACCACAGTCATGATAAAGGTGGAGGCTAACACTTGCAGCCCAAAGTATGAGGCAGAAATTGAGTTCATTACGAAGGAGGTGAGAATTAAATATTTTATTTAAAGCTACAGTATATGTGTTTACAAAAATACAGCAGGTATTTGCTTTACATTACATTTTATAAAACTAAAATGCAATGATTTTTGTCTTTTAGGAGTGGCATGATGAATTATGGTCACTGAAGACGCTTAAGAAAGGTGATAACTATCGGGACATGGTTAAAAAGCTGTCAGCCCTGTATGGAGAAGAATGGAAAGACAAATCCCCTGAAAACCTCTTGGAAAAAAAGTATTTCAAAAATATTCCAGAATTTTTAGAGTCCAAGAGGAAATTTTTGCATTGTGACACAGTAAGTTCAAATACTATTCTATTGCATCATTTTTTTTCCACGTTTGTTGTTTCAATGAGTGGAATTTGCTTGCATTGATATAATTTGATATAATTTATAGACAGCCTATTCTGTTATTAAAAAAATAACAATATAAAAGAAAAGTAGAATGTGCAGACCAAAATATTAAAACAAATCTGTTCTTGCCTTATCAAACTTCAGTGCTGCTTTTGACTGGTTTGAAAACTAGATGTGGAAAAAGGACCCAAGGCACGTGGATGTTTATTTACATTTTCCAGCTGCCTCCTGCAGCTGAGCTCCCTTGTCAGGTCCCAGCATCCTACTTAAATAGGAGAGATTGATTCGTATATAGCTCTAACTTGGCGTATGTTGCCCCAAGTTAGATGGTTCTACCTCATGTGCTGAAGGCACCCCAGATGCATGAATAGTTGATGGAGATTAGCTGTGTTGGTCAGCTTTCCCAGACACGTTAAAATATATTCCTAGTTTTAGTCTTTAGGTTTCTGTTACCTTTCTTTCCCCGTTTTCCATTTTGTTACTCTTGTCTCTGTGCTCTATGTTTGCTCTTGTCTTCCCTGTCAGCCATAACTCCTTGTCAAGTCTGCGTCTCCATGCCTGTCTTGTGTTTCCTGTTTTACTTTGATAGCCTCATGTCCTGTGTTCAGTGTTTTGAGTTATGCTTCCCCTTTGTCTCGTCATGTTTGAATACTCCCAACTGTGCTCTCCTGTTGTGTCTCAATCCCTTGTTACTCCCTTGTGTATTTAAGCCCTGTGTTTTCCTCTGCCCACTGTCGCCTTGCCCGATGTGGTTTAAATTTCTCCGTATGTCCCTATTCAATCGTTCCTGGTTCCATGTTCCACGTTTCCTAGCGTTTCTGTTTCTGGGGCCACAGCATTTAGTTTGCGATATGGCAGCCTTGCTTCTGTCAGTCTGCCCCAAAGAAGCTGTGGCTACAACTGTAGCTGCCTCCACCAGTGTGTGAATGTGAGAGTGAATGAATAGTGGAATTGTAAAGTGCTTTGAGGGTCTCGAAAAGCGCTATATAAATGCAATCCATTATTATTATTATTATTAGTGAATATTGAATCCTACTGAAATTTGAATCACACAGTAACTGTAACAGTAACTGAGAAAATAATCAAGCATTTTATGGCTGTAAAGATATTTGTACAACAGAGTAGTTAAATCTCTCAATAAGTTAATGTCAGAGATTGGTGGATAATTTTAAAAGACATAAGTTGCTGGGTTTAGGGTAGAGAGGACCGATCCGATATTACGTATCGGTCCCATACTGACGTAAATTACTGGATCGGATATCGGAGAGAAATAAAAAATGTAATCCAATTCATTAAATATCATAAAAGCACCTCACAAAACTTGTGACATGGTGTGGGGATGAACAAAAAGTATTTTACCAGCATAATATAATTTGCAGTATGATCATTGCTTTAACAATGTAACAGATAGCTTTAAGATGGCCTTAAGATGTTTATGCATACGGTTATCATATTAACCTTGTATTCCAGATGCAGTTATAACTATTTTATACATATTGCATATCTGTGCTTATTTTGAGTTGATGTTCGGTTCATTAAGGGTCTTAAGCTTCACTGGCGTGACTGTCCAGGTGATACATGCTGAGGGAAACTAGAACATAGAAGGAATTGCAATACATGCTTACAAAACACTTATATCAGGTCATTTTTATATTAAGCTTTTAGTAGAGGTTCTTGATTAAAACATTTATTTGGTAGATGACATATATATAGTTTCAGTTAGGTTGTTACACATAAGGAGGAGCCTCTGTTCTGGTGAAAGGTCAGAAGTGCAACGGGTGAGATGAGAGAGCATTTAAGGACGAGACACAGACAGTTAGTAGGCGAGAGGTGACATAGAGGCTGAGTGAGGTCAACACATACACACACACATTAGTTAGATTTATTTATAGGTGAGAGGGTAGTCATGTCTGGTTGTAACTACGAAATTGTCTCGGTAAAAGAGGAACTGTTCCTTGTTGTCTCGGCAAGAAAGAGGAACAATTCACTTCAAGACAAGAACTGAAAGGTTGACCGGAGGAATCGGCCATGAAAATAGAAGATGATGTTCTTTTGAACTATGTTAAAAGTAATTGTGGTTTTGAGTTGATCTATGTATAAAATGTATCTGTGACGTATGAAGGGGCGTCATTAATCAAACCCTAATGCAATAAAATAATTGTTTGTGCTTTGATTAAGTTGAAGATCAATTGCTGTCTGTAGTGATCTTCCCACGCGTGTATTAAAATCATCGTTTGACTTCACCCGGCCGGATCAGTGTGGTTATTCTTCGATCACCTCTTGTCTCCTTCCTCAATATTTGAACCTTAACAACGGCATAACTCGGCTCATAACCGTAGCACGTCGGAGCAGTGTGCGTCACGTGATAGAGCAGCTTTGTGTATTGTAGCCTCGCTACCAAACCAGCATTTCATCTCCGAGGAAGTTATCCCGAGAGAAGTAAAGCAAGTGTTTAAGTTTATCTCTGAATGTTTGTAAAGCATTCCCGCGTTAAGCTTAACAACCGATATATGGAGCGGATGCCTCTTCTCTCTCCCTCCCTCTCCGGTTGCTACTTCAATCGAAACTGATCAATGATCAGCTGATCGGCTTTTCTGTCGCGACTCCCGTTTCTCTTCTTTGTTTTTGGCCCACTTTGCACCAGAAAGAGGAAACCAGCGGCTGAACAACAGCAGCACGTTTATGCTTGATAAGCTGTTGTTAGAATTTATTTAATATTGCTTTCTACACCAGGATCCTTTTCTACGTAGCTGACGGCTGGTAACTGTGCAGGGGAAGATCTAGCAAAGTTTAGCCAGGGGGGGCCAATAGGGCATTAACAGGGAAAGGGGGCACAAAGACATACTTTTCTTTCTTATTCTCATTTAAAATGTCGAGCTTTTGATAAATAATTATCTGAATCTTACACCCAAAGTTTTAATCTGATGTAAAATGTATAGAAGTCCATTACTGTATATAGTAACTGTTAAGTCTAATATACTAAGTAAGCTATACTACTTTTTCCTTTGGGAAGATACCATCTGTGCAGTCTGCATTTTTGTTGAAGAAAGATGTTGAATCTATTTAATTATTCTTGAAAAATAATTTAATTCTGTGCATTTTTTTTCACACTGCATCAAATTAAAGTTGATTACGTCGATTAAGCATCATGAGGTGGGGGGTGGTTCCCTATTTTTTTTGCTGGGAGTTTGCAACCCTATTAGTTAGGTTGCCTAATATTTCTGCTAAGTACTCTTTAAAATACCAGAATAGGAAGGATGGAGTAGGTTTAAGTTTATTAGATTGATCACTATTGCTGAACTATGAAATATTTTGGGTGCAGTGTATTTTATTTTTTTTTTTTTTTTTACATACAGGTATAACAGAATAGCTTTAGTGTTGTTGTTTATTTAAACTTGAGTATGAACTTATAAAAAAATGCAGCAAGATATTAAAAAACAGTTTTATTGATTAAAAAACACTATATCGGATTCATATCGGTATCAGCAGATATCCAAATTTATGATATCGGTATCGGTCATAAAAAAGTGGTATCGTACCATCTCTAGTTTAGGGTTAAAGTGGTCAATACTAGCTACTGATGTCAATCCTATACTTTTTCTCCAGAAGAATGTAAATTTTTCTTAAGTAATAACTTTTTGTAATGTTAAGTAAAAAGTAAGCCTTTTTACAACTTTTGAAATAAACATCACAATGTCGTTCAGAACCAAAGTGCTGGCAGCATAAAGAGAGAAAGCTACACAAAACCAAAATTTAAAAGTTGAGTTTTTAGCTGCTTTTTAACACAAATCACACGTCTCAGTGGGTGAGAGCTCCAGAGTCTAGGAGCCATTACCACAACGCTCTGTCACTTTACTGTAATTCTCAGGCCTGTATGATGATAGAAATGTATGAATGTAAAAGTTTAAAGGTATAACAGGAACAGTTTCAACTGCGCGTGCAAATAAGTTAACAATTTGCATTGGATATCACAAGACTATAGGTCTGCAAACAGGGCGTCTGTTAGCTGTAAACATAAAACACTAGGGAAGCTGCATTAACAAATGCGTCTGTGATACTGTGTGCATATATGTGCCTAAGTTTGATCATCCTTAGATCTAAACATTAAAAAAAATCTAAAATGTTTCCCAAGAAAAAAAATGAGTCTAAAATTTGGGTTTCTTTTTTAAATTTACTGATTTAATTGTAAATGTATTAATCTTATTTATCTTGTTTATTGCAGGCTCAAAAGCTATCTGCAGAACTTTTTAAATATACAAAGTATGTTCCAAAGCAGGAAGATGGATATAAAGCACAGCAGTGGTTTTGGCCACTAGTAAAGTGTGTGACTGTCAGGGTGCCAAACAATAAGTTTCTCCAGCATGTCACACTTGTGGACCTTCCTGGAAATGGCGATTGCAACAAGAGCAGGAACGAAATGTGGAGACAAGTAATTTTTCACATCAACTTCTTGTTGTTTTTCTGGTGTTGTTTTAACATCTTTTGTATTAATTATTTATAATTGACGTGCTATAATTTTTTTCAGATTGTTGGAGATTGTTCTACTGTGTGGATTGTGGCTGAAATTACTCGGGCAGCATCAGAGAATGAGGCCTGGGAGATTCTAAAAAGTGCACATGGCCTCATTGGAAATGGTGGTCAGTGTGAGCAAATTCACTTTATCTGCACCAAGTCTGATCCTTCAGACAATCGGTAAGTGAATTAAAATGTCAAAGTGCATAATTTAAAAAATTTTTAAAATCACATACTGATCAATCTTGTGGGAGAAATATTGAATAATAGTTGTATTCAGATATTTACTAAAAACACATAATATTCTCAACACTAACACAGTACTGGTAAAATTCTTTGTGAAGTCAGTACCCAACTCACAGCATGTGGCATGGCGAATAATGGTGTATTTTTAACAAGCAAACAAAACAAACAACCTTTATTTGTCACCAGTGTTGGGCAAGTTACTTTGAAAAAGTTATTAATTATAGTTACTAGTTATTTTTCAAAAAGTAATCGAGTTAGTAACTGAGTTTCTAAACGTAATTAATTACTAGGAAAAGTAACTATTGCATTACTTTAAAAGAAAGTTTTTAATTGATAGGTTTGTAGCTTGTACCTATCCGCTGGAACGTTGAAGACAATATAATTACACCTAGCAAGATACGAAGTAGGCAAAGTTCTTCATGTTACTCCTGCACGGGAGAGAACCGAACAGACGCCGTTCTCTCGTCTGACCCGGTTGCTCTCGTCCGTTCTCCCGTACCACTGTTCTTTTATTGAGGTTACATGAATATGCATAGGTTCATTAACATATGACTCCTACATTCACACAAAGAGTACCTTGCCTGTGTATGTGTGTGTGTGTGTGTGTGTGTGTGTGTGTGTGTGTGTGTGTGTATGTGGGTGTGTGTGTGTATATGGGTGTGAGTGAGAGATCTGTGTGAGGTCAAGATGTGACCCTGTGAAGACTCCCTAAAGCTGGTGCCAGGTGTCTGAGTCCATCTAACAAAAGGCTCTTATACTTAAACAGATATACGTGTGCTTGCTATACCATAAATCAACAAGAAAAGATAAACTCTCCTAGGGAGTATGTGATTTATACCAAGGATACACTCTAGAGGAATGAATGCACTTCCTTCTACACAGAGTTAATACAGACCTCCTTTAAGATGAAACATTCTTTCAATCTACAAATGATTATACACTTCTAAGCATATATGAGTAAATGTTTCTAAGCATAAATGACAATCAACAATACAAAACCTATCATTAACCTTCTGGGGTCCCGGGTATAATTGACCATTTTTGACTACTTTTAATTTGACCTCTACATATCACCATTAAAAACTATTTACTTTGCCTTGTTTGGTGTCATTCTTTTCAGTACAGCCTCACATGTCTGAATTTACAGTTATGTTTTAATTTTGACATACTCTATTAACACAACTGATCTAAAATCAAACAAAAAAAACAAAATCTGAGTAGAAAAAGTTATATTTTATGCTGTAACAACCACAAACATGTTTAATGAATCATATTTCATAACTTAAATACAAATATAAATTGTAAATCTTAAAATCCCATGCACAAGTTGTAATGGTTTGCAGTGGCTGACCGTGTGGAGAGTGTTTGGAGGACCCAGGTGCGGACACAGATAAGCAGACCAAATTAACTTTAAACAAAAGGCAAGCCTTTATTTGAGGCTGGAGTACATGAACTAAACTAAACGAGAAGTGAACAGGGTCAACAACTAAACAGGAACCTAAATTGGGAAGAAACTAACAACAGTGAGGCTATGAACAAGACTGTGCCTTTATTTGAGGCTGGAGTACATGAACTAAACGAGAAGTGAACAGGGTCAACAACTAAACAGGAACCTAAATTGGGAAGAAACTAACAACAGTGAGGCTATGAACAAGACTGTGCCTTTATTTGAGGCTGGAGTACATGAACTAAACGAGAAGTGAACAGGGTCAACAACTAAACAGGAACCTAAATTGGGAAGAAACTAACAACAGTGAGGCTATGAACAAGACTGTGCCTTTATTTGAGGCTGGAGTACATGAACTAAACTAAACGAGAAGTGAACAGGGTCAACAACTAAACAGGAACCTAAATTGGGAAGAAACTAATAACAGTGAGGCTATGAACAAGACTGTGCCTTTATTTGAGGCTGGAGTACATGAACTAAACTAAACGAGAACTGAACAGGGTCAACAACTAAACAGGAACCTAAATTGGGAAGAAACTAATAACAGTGAGGCTATGAACAAGACTGTGCCGGATCATGAGGGAACTGTGAAATATAAGAATAAGTATCATGAGCCATGACCTGCACAGAGACTTGAAACCTGACATGACATACGGCGTGGAACACAGACGACGCGACACAGACTGAATTGAAACACAGAGACTAAATACACATAAGGGATGATCAAGGGAAGTGGTCACACATGGGAGCACAGCTGACACACATGAACCTAAAGACGGGACAGGGGAAGTGAAACTAAAGACACTGACATTGGACACAGACTTCCAAAGTAAAACAGGAAACATAACAGACGCAGACTTGACTAGGGAATACAGCAGACCCTGGAACACAGGAAATGAAAGACTAGAAAAGATAAACTATGACAAAATCAAAATTCAATAATGACACAAAACTCAAAACACTGGGTCACCGACCCAGGACCATGACACAAGTTAGCTGCAAATTTGCAGCCATTTACCTTTTTTTTTTTTTTAAATAACCATTTCAAACTATTTACATAACAATCAGGTGTTCTACATTAAAGAAGATGCCACACAAATTATTTGTGCCACTGCAAAAAATAATTTCTTTACAAGCATTCACACTAATTAGAAGAACAATACTGTGAATGCTTTTCAAGCATTCACACTAATTAATTAAATCCTTTCACATTTGTTACTTTTCATCTGAAAAATGTCACTTACAGTAAATGCTTACAGGTGAATTTGTTTTAGAAATATTATGGTGCGCTAATTACATTAAATTTCAATATGTCATTTTATGGTGGGGTGTGATTTGTGGTTTAGCACCAGGTGAGGGGTGGAGCAGCAGGTTCAGGTTACAGTGACAGGGGAGGCTGGGAGAAAGAGCTGATGACTGCCACACCCTGGTTTAGTAGCTGCTGGGGCCTGAAAAGGAATGAACTGAGAGCGGAGTGAGAGAGCTGAGCCAGTGGGAGTTGAAGAGTGTGAAGTGAAGTGTGAACTGAATGAAAAGAATTACTGAAACCTGACACAGAACTGTCTCCTTGTGTGTGTGCGTCATAACGGAGATCAGGAACAGAGTGATACAGTGGTGCCCAGCTTCCCGCTACGACATGTCAAACCCGCAGAACTACCAGCCAGCTCAGGCACTAGCTCAAATGATGGCCAGCATAGCGGCCTTGCAGCAGGAGCAGGCGGCAGAGCACCAACGTCATCTGCAAGACCTGCAGGCCCTGACTGAGCGGCAGACGCAGGTGCTACAAAACTTTTTGGCTCAGTTTGGGGCCGCTGCGAATCCGCCCCCTCTGGACGGGCTGGAACTCTCCCCAGAAGACCATCATCACCGCATGGAAGAAATATCGATGCCAGGGGAGGTAAGTGTCTCCCAAAGAGTGACTTTCGATGTTTGTTTGTTTTTTTAACGTCTAATATTTTTAATTATATTATTAAATAGACTTTAGTCAAAGGGGTTGTACATCAAATAAAGAAATGGTCTGCTTTCTAAGTATCTTGTTATGTGTATTTGTACTCATATTTTCATCAATCCAGTTCTTTTTGTTTATAGAAAGGTGCTGTTATATTTGTTATTTCTGCTGCACTCTTGACTAGCTCTCTCTTGAAGAAATAAATCCCGGTTATATACCAGTTACTTTGCCAAAAATTGATTGCAACAGCTATTTTGTAGTGATGTGTCAGTCGCGAACGGAAGTGAACAATGCAAGCCGGCTCCTTATCCGGTCGTTAAGTCTGACGTCACTAGCCGTGTCTGGGCCTAAACTCCACTGCAAGTCCATATATCAAACAATCACTATGGCATTACTGAGAGTTGAAAAACTGTCTAAAGTCTTTCATCTTTAATAAAAAGATCAGCGTTCTGCTCTACCAGGTGTAACAATTGAGTTTACATCCAGGCATCCATGAAAACGGAATTTATGACATTTAACGGAGTTAGAAGTTAGCAAGAAGTTAGGTGGATTCTGTTCATCTGAATGTAGCGTTTTCAGTGGGAGAAACGTTTTGTCACTCATCCAAGTGATTTGAATTTAGATGTGTAGAGTTAGAAATGCTACAGAAAGTGTTGAAATTAATGCAGATACCAGAGAGTTAAATCAAGTGGCACATACCAAGGTTTTTTTGTTGTTTGTTTGGGGTTTCTTTAGAATAAAGAAGTTCAGTCAGGAGAACAACTGAGATAATCCATCCACAATACGAGGTTAGTCATTCATATACTGCTGCATGAGCTGGGCTGTAGTTACATCCCAAGGTTTTAAAAACTGAGCTTAAATAAATGATTAGCGGTAATAAAAGCCGAGGGAGGTCAACAGTGATCACTGACTGTTTTAGGAGCTTTTTGAGATTAAATAGAAGAAAATACAAAACATTAAACATGTTAACAACACAAAAGCCATATTAAACGCAGAATACTTTAGGCCCGGAAATAGGATTCGTCACGTCATCACTTGACGACCGGATTGGGAGCCATGGGTTTTTTTTTTCTTTCGCTCACCCTCTCTCTTGCACTTTTTTTCCGCTTCACTCCGCACGCGAGCCTTGTGCTTTGTGCTGGGAAGAGAGGGGAGGGGTGGTAGTTACACTCTCAGTAGCACAGGAACAGAGCAGGAGGGAGACAGAGAAAAAGAGCCATGGACAACAATGTCACATTAGAAAAGTATAGTAATAATCCACAACTATTTTCAGTTGCGGATGATAAAGGATTCAGAAAGTTTATTCATGCAGGCCCAAGTTGAAATGTAAATAGCTGGTTTTTGTATTATATGATTTATTTATTACATTTTATGTGGAGTGAATGAATAAAAGTATATTTACGGTGGCTGCTAGAGACAAAGCACATACAAACCCTGAAGCATGTACAAACTCCAAAACACGCAGTGTTGAGCTTTTGTTACCTAGTGGCTCTACACGAGCCAGCAAGTACCAACGACTGGATTTGGTGTGTGGTAGTAACAGGTAAATGAACATTTTTTTTAATTATTTGAATATATATGAGTGCTTGTGTATAAATACACAAAAATTACACGTATGCTTTCAATTGCGTAATTTAAGTGATCTAGGTAGCTCTGTTTTTGAAGTTCAGTTAACGCTAGAAATGTGTTTTGGAGTTTGTACATGCTTTGTCTCTAGAGGCCACTGTATATATTTATATATAAACATATATAAATAAAACCACTTCTGTTTTGTTTTTTTACATTAGTAATTCCTTTCGTGCATAATTTTATATTGTTGTTAATAATAAATTAATTAAAAGCAACAAAACAACCTGAAGAGCCAGTTGGGAGCCAAAAGAGCTGGTTCTCTAAAAAGAGCCGGAAATCTCAGCACTACTACTTTGTGATAGGAAAGATCTCTAAATTGATATTCTTTGTAAAAGATATGATTGACCAATTTTAAGTCAACAAGTCATTTATAATAGCTTAAATTCAGTGACAAGGTAGTTATCCCCGACAGAATTTGTTTTCCCCGGATCAGGTGAATTTGCTTGGTGGGGAGAGCGGATCCAATTAACTTCGCCTCCGTAACGATCAGAAGCTGAAACCTGCAGTCAGCTGAGACTGAAGAAGTCACTTGGATGAGTGACAAAACATTCCTCCCACTGAAAACAGTCCAGATGAACAGAATCAACTTTTTGGGATACTAGTTTCTGTTTCTTTGTTACTCCCGAATTCATCAAAGAGGCAACCTGGCTGTCTGTGTAAATGCTGATGCTTTCAAGTGTCATAGCAACATTTACTGTAATCGAAGCAAATATCCCGATTTCGACTCAGATTTGTTTGAGTACAATTATCCATTTGTGTTAACTGTAAAAGGGATACTGTAAAGTTACTATATTTAAGCTACAACTAGATGTGCTACAGCCTTATCATTTTATTATTTCTGTCCTTGCCTGGTTTTAATTAATAATCCAAAGAAAAAAACCTCCCAAAACACTAACAGGTCATGAAAATTCATTCAGACTTAGCAATTTGATGATTCATCCACCTTAATTATTAAAAAGCATCAGTATCTGTATCAGAATCTTTGATACTGGGCCTGTGTTTACAAGGTATCAGATGGATACCAAATCACATCACTAGTGTGGGGACATTCATGAATATCCTATTGTGCCCCCCTCCCTGCACACACCACAACACCGCAAAAACCACACCTTCCCACACATTGATAGCATTATTCAGAAAAATTCTTTAACTTTTATGCTGATTTGGATTTGCAATATTTTTATTGTGTTAGGAAGAGCCAAATACAACTCAACCACAAAAGGAATCAGTCAATACTTCTGGTCAAGTAAGTATAAAAAACTGTTTCATGACACTCCTCTTCAGTATCTGTACTGCAAGTTACATTTTTAAGTAAACATTTTACATAGCTTTGCACTTAGCTTTACCTACTCTGCAAACAAAACTATAAAGAAACAGCTGATTTCGATCAGGTAGGAATTACTGAAATTCAGATAATGAACCAGCATGCTTTCCTTCATTCATACAGTGGGATGCAAAACTTTTGGCAACCTTGTTAATAGTCATTATTTTCCTGTATAAATCGTTGGTTGTTACAATAAAAAATGTCAGTTAAATATATCATATAGGAGACACACACAGTGATATTTGAGAAGTGAAATGAAGTTTATTGGATTTACAGAAAGTGTGCAATAATTGTTTAAACAAAATCAGGCAGGTACATAAATTTGGGCGCTGTTGTCATTTTATTGATTCCAAAACCTTTAGAACTAATTATTGGAAGTCAAATTGGCTTGGTGAGCTCAGTGACCCCTGACCTATATACACAGGTGAATCCAATAATGAGAAAGAGCATTTAAGGGGGTCAATTGTAAGTTTCCCTCCTCTTTTAATTTTCTCTGAAGAGTAGCAACATGGGGGTCTCAAAACAACTCTTAAATGACCTGAAAACAAAGACTGTTCACCATCATGGTTTAGGGGAAGGATACAGAAAGCTGTCTCAGAGATTTAAGCTGTCTGTTTCCACAGTTAGGAACATGTTGAGAAAATGGAAGACCACAGGCTCAGTTCAAATTAAGTGGCAGACCAAGAAAAATCTCGGATAGACAGAAGCGACAAATGGTGAGAACAGTCATAGTCCACCATTTGTCAGACCAGCACCAAAGACCTACAACATCATCTTGCATCAGATGGAGTCACTGTGCATCGTTCAACCAATTGGCGCACTTGACACTACGGTATGAAAAGGAAAAAAAATAGAACGCATAATGGACAGGTTTTTGACGGGGCATCCACACAAATGCAAAGCAGGAGATGAAGCATCACCAAATATGTTTCCAAACCAACCTTTCAAGCCAAAGACTAGAAAATATGGTGATGCATATCATCCCTTTGGCTTCGACTGCACAAGGTAGGTCTCCTCTGCAGAATTGGTTTTCCCTGCGTCGGGAGCACGCACTGGGCTCTTCACATCACGGACAAACAGTATGCCACATTCTTGATTCTTAATTCACAACCATTTTTCTAATAAAACAAAGGGGGCCTAGCAAAAAAGGTTTGGGAACCACTGCGCTAAAGTGACCTGAGTCAAATTAAAGCCCCAGTCACAAAAGCCTAGAGACCAGTCTATGACTTAAAATCCTTACAACCACCAACCACTATATCACTAATAGTGATGGTAAATTTGATTCCTTTTACTTAATCGAGTTTGAATGAGTCACTCACCAAAATGAATCGGGTGTTTTGAGTCATTTGAGTCACTGAGTCAGTTGCTAGGAGAGTGCAAAAAATGTACATTTTCATGCAAACTTAATTTGTTTGTCTTTTCATGTAAACCCTATTGCTAAGATGAGTGATTGAAAAAGAAAAACAACTCTTTTATAGAGCAAAAAAGAGCAAAAAATAAAGATTTGTAAAGGGAACATTTATTTTTATTTCAATAGAATATCAATGAAATTTCTGACAGATAGAAAATGAAATGTGAATCAACAAAATCAAAATCAAAAATATAAATAAAAATAAATAAAATTCACAGATTACTGTGTTCAAAAGTACTAGTCCACTTCAAAATTAATTGTCCCTTACAGATTGGCATTGAGGAAAATAAGCTCCCCAACTTTTCCAGGGCTGAGACGGTTCCTCCTGTCTGTAATTATTTGTCCTGCCTTTGAAAAGATCCGCTCTGATGGAACGGAAGTTGCCACTATGCAGAGTCTCGTCTTCATAATATCGCAGGTTTTTTTGAAGACAGTGGCACGGGACTTCCACCACTCCAGGGGGTCAGATGTTCGGGGTAGGAGTGGCTCTGACAGGAATCCTTTAATCTCCAGCATTGCCTCTGTGAAGGGGTTTTGGACTCCTGGCCTCAGTGATGCAACCCGCTCCTCAAAATCGGCCCAAATCACAGGCACTGTCTCAGTGGAAGTACTGGCCTGTGGGACACCCTCTCCTTCCTCTGTGCTGGGTGTTGCCAGTGGCAGTGGTCTTAAGGACCTTGATGCAGCTCCCACAACTCTTGTTACAGCATCTTCTGCATGTCTATCATGTAAAAATGCATGCTTCTTGAACCTGGGATCCAAAAGTGTAGCATCTGCAAGCAGGCTCACTTGTTCGATCCCCCCCAGCCGTTTGACAATTTCTGCCATGAGGATGTCTACCATGTTGCGGATTGGCTGATAGATGGAAGGACTTCTCTGTCTGTGTGCAGTAATCCTCTGCAGCCCTCTTGCCATTAAAATGGCTTTTGATCCAGTAACAAACCTGTTGAGGAGAAATAAAGGAAAGACTATAGTTCCATGCGTTTTAATGTAGTTACAGCCCCTGCAGTGCAGTGCATTAAGCATACATTGTCATATAAAACCATTTTACAGTTTACATTTAATTATAAGCTGTTGTAAGAAACATCTTAAATGCTATTATCTGGGAAAGAATTGAAAAATGTGTTTAGGCAAATGTAATGACACAACATGAAATATATACATGTATTATGACACTATTTTAACATACCTTTCGGCACTCAGTTCCACAGTCACTTCCTCAAAAGGCTGCAGGACCTCACAGGTTTCCTTGACCATCTCCCACTCTTCAAGTGACAGGGTTTGCAGCTGTGGATTTACCAAGGCCAGGGTGGAAATGAGGGGATCCTTCACTTCTGCAATCCGCTTCAGCATGTAATAAGTGGAATCATCACTTACACATGCAACTATCTTTTCCATAATGGCCCATTCAGTTGCAATCCTTTCCAGCTCTCTAGCCAGGTTTTCAGATGTATGGTTGTCTTTTAATTCAAAACAGTCCAACAAGTTTGACTGCAGCTTAAACTCGGCCACATAGTGGCATGTAACAGACATGTAACTTGTTGATGTGCTGGAGGTCCAGCAGTCAGTTGTTAAGCACACAGCAGTTGCTGTCTTGATTTTTTCCTGAACATCAGCTCTTATCTTCTGAAACAAATCGGGCATCAGCTGTCTGGATACTGTACTTCTAATGGGAAGAACATATGAAGGATCAAGTGCCTTGGTGAATTCCCTAAATCCTCTGTCATCAACGATTGAAAAGGACTGAAAATCTTGGGCAATCATTTTAACCAGAGCCTGGTCAACCTTGCTCTGCTGAAGTGGCATCATGGGCCTTGACACAAATGCTCCCATGTAAGACTGCCTCTGTCTTCTTTTTGCTGATTGTTGTCCTTGCCCTGCTGTGTGTGTGCTTGTATTTTCTTGCTGAGTACTTGTTGATGTGCTGCTGGAATAAACAGGTGATGTGACCGCTGTTGATAATGCTGCTGTTGAAGATTGTTGCTCCTGCTGTTAGCCGCTAGGTTGTCCAATGCTAGTAGCTGGGTTTTGACTGTGCTGTTGTTGTAGCATAACTGTGGGGTGCTTGCTACTGAGATGTCTTCTCATATTTGATGTACTTCCCCCTCGAAAAGACAAAACTGTCTCGCAAATGTTGCATTGTGCGTGTGTTGCACTTTTCATTTGAAAATGCATCCAAATATCGCTTCTTCGACGACTATCCATTTTTCCTCGTATCATTAACTCGCACTGCCGGCAAACAACACCGTAGTACCGCCCCCTTGCCCCATACACGTGGAAAAAAACACAAACACCTTTAGAATTTTCTGGTTTTTTATTATTAGTATTTTCCTCAAACATGTCACATATATATTTTCTTATCTAAATAATTTAGTGAAATAGCGAATTTCTAATTATTTAACTTACATTATTGCAGCAGCAGAATGCGAGTCTGAGCATTTTTATTTTTTTAATAGTGGTGGAACTGAGTTCATATATTTTTTCCTTAAGTCTGCTTATGATCTTTTCAAAAAACAAAGTGTAGACTGAATGTTATACTGCGTCAGTCAGACTATCGGACTTCGTCTTCAGTGAAGGAGTGACTCTTCCAAGGTAACACGCTCTGAGTTTCAACAGCTGATAACCGAGAGCGAGGGGTGAGTGTGTCTTATGAAGCATGAGGGTCCACTGAGCTGTGTACCAGGGGGCGCTAATGTACCTTAATGTTGGTGAGCCAGGAGGGAGGGGGTGAGTCCGGAGTGATTCGCTTACTCTACGATTCAGCACAGCAAGGAAGGGGGTTAGTGAGTCCTGAGTGATTCGCTTATGCTACGATTCAGCACAGCAAGGGAGGGGGTGAGTAACTCAAATGTGCTGTTAGCATGTTAGCTGAGCGATGCTACAGTGAACCAAGGAGCTATTTTCTTGATGTGAGGTTTCTACTCAAGGTTTTTTCTTCCAGTTCAGAGCAGAAATGCTTTTGTTAAGAAACTGGCTGTTGTTTTTTTTCCCCCCACAATTTTAATTATAAGCTAGATATATTTCTTCTAATGGAATTCGTTTGCTAACAGCAACAGGGATGAGTCAGTGAGTCAGTTGGGCTTGTGAATCATGATTCACGAGTCAGTAAAGTGATTCTCGAGTACTGAACAATTCGTTCACGAATCGAACATCACTACTAAACAACTGATGTAGTTACCTGATACCTAATACACATTTTACCTTAACACAGGGGTGGGGAGCGCCAGACCTCGAGAGCCGGTGTCCTGCAGGTTTTAGATATCACCCTGGGTCACCACATTTGAATCAAATGATTACTTCATTACCAGGCCTCTGGAGAACTAAAAGAAATGTTAAGGGTGTAATTTAGTCATTTAAATTAGCTGTGTTGGATCAAGTACAACTAAAACCTGCAGGACACCGGCTCTCAAGGCCTGGAGTTGCCTACCCCTGCCCTGACAGCTGGTGGTTGCCATTGATGGGGTGGTCACCAACTGTTCTCAAGGTCTGTGTCACTGGCACTGAATGAGGCTGGAAAGTTGACTCATGTAATCATGTTTATTAACAGGTAAGAATATGAAAGTTTTCCATTTTTTTAATCGCAGTTTGCTAAAGAACAAACTGTTTCTGTACAGTTGCGATGGCTTCCTGTATAAGTTCAGATATGCATACATGTGTAGTAATTTAATTTCAAATACGAAAGTCAAATATTTACATTTATCCTCAGGATTTGCCATCCATAAGTGAAAAAGGTGAGAAATATTTGTCTCATTCTCATATTATTACATCTGATGTATTTATTTTTATCATTTTTGCAGCATCTAAAATACACCGTGATCACAATTTTCAATCTTGAAAGATTTTTTTTTTATCCAATAAGGAAAGAGAAACTCAGATCATTTTCAGGGTGAGTCCAGCCAATGGCAACCACCTCCTAAACGACAATACAACTGTGCAGCAGGATCACAGTCAGGTATTTGAAAAGTACTAATATGCATTTTTTTTTAATATAATAGCTATAGTATGAACTTGTAAAATCCACACTCTTTACTGTTTTTGAATATCAGTGGGCCACATTTTGCATTACACTGCTTCCTGTTTCCTACTAATTAGTTTTTACTTTCATTTTGACAGAAAAAGAAATACTGTTTGAGGTCAAAGAGATAATGAGACATGTCAGTGAAGGACTACATGGCCGTGACAAGCTCAAACTTTTCCTAAAGTGAGTAATAAAGGTTTCCTTTTTTTTGTTGGACATTGTTCCAACCAGTTCCAAAAAAGTTAGGACAGTCTGTAAAATGAAAATAAAAACAATATTCATGAAATCTCATACTCTAATATTTTATTGACAACAGGACACAAAAACATATCAAATTCCTAAGCTGAGAAAATGCACCATTTTAAGAGGTAATTGGGTCATTTTGTGTTTGATGTCACTATGTCTCAGAAAGGTTAGGAAGGCAAATTAAAAAAAAAATCTAGAAAGTAAGTGTTTGCAAAAAGAAACAGTTGGAGGAACATTTTGCTGTAATTTGGTATAAAGATTTAAACTCTGTCAGAGCTCAACATGGAGCTGTGATTCAGTTCATTCCATTGTTAAGGTGAATTGTACCAGAATCCATCATTTCACACTTCAGAGGTGATCAGTAGCTTTTGAATACTGATTAATATTTCATGTTTTTCCACACATGTAGTCTTCAGAGATGTGAAATTATAAATATCAAGTCTAAACATTGTAATAGTTTTTTTTTTAAACAAATTTTCAAAAAGAAATCTCAATCATCCAGGTAAGTAGATCCCATTGGTTGATGATAAATGGTAATGACAATTTGCATATTAATGATTAAGGAAGTAAATGGCCTGTATTTATATAGCGCTTTACTAGTCCCTAAGGACCCCAAAGCGCTTTACATATCCAGTCATCCACCCATTCACACACACATTCACACACTGGTGATGGCAAGCTACATTGTAGCCACAGCCACCCTGGGGCGCACTGACAGAGGCGAGGCTGCCGGACACTGGCGCCACCGGGCCCTCTGACCACCACCAGTAGGCAACGGGTGAAGTGTCTTGCCCAAGGACACAACGACCGAGACTGTCCGAGCCGGGGCTCGAACCGGCAACCTTCCGATTACAAGGCGAACTCCCAACTCTTGAGCCACAATCGCCCCAAGTGACCTCACAGCCCATTGTTCATTCAGTGGGCTAGTTTATAAGGCTGAGGAAACCTGCAGTCAGCTGAAACTGAAGAAGTCACTTGGATTAGTGATGAAACGTTTCTCCCACTGAAAACGCCAAGTCCAGATGAACAGAATCAACCTTTTGGAATCTTTCTGATTTTGCCACATTTTAAGTTTAATGTTCCTAAGAATGGGTGAGTGAATCCATATTTAAACTCTTTCAACAGGGATAAAATCAAGGATTTGGAGACAGAAAAGAGACACCTGGTTGGTGTCTTTGGTAAAACTGGGGCTGGAAAGAGCGCTTTAATCAATGCCATCATAAATAAGGAGGGCCTGTTGCCTTCTGCAAGTGTCAGTGCATGTACCTCAGTAATGATAAAGGTGGAGGCTACCAATGGATCAAAGTATGAGGCACACATCGAGTTCATTACAAAAAAGGTAGAATGAAATATGAATATGATGATTCTTAAAGAAAATTTATGTGTTACAATCTAGCTGCAAAAACTGCTTTACTAAAATTAAGATGTTTTTTTGGGTTTTTTTTGAAGGATTGGGAAGATGAGGTGCGATCACTAAGACAGGTTTTTGAAGACAACCACGACCATGACGACGATGATGATGACAATGATGATGATGATGATGATGATGATGATCTATTTGACCCTAATGGAAAGTTATCAGCGCTGTATGGAGAAGGTTGGGGGAAAAATCCACTCTCAGCCTCATGGAGAAAGGATATTTTGTGGATATTCCAGAGTTTCTAAATTCCGAAATAAAATTTTGAAAAGTGACTCAGTAAGTGTGCAGTACTACAGACCAAAATAAAATTCACTTCTTCTTCTAGAACATAGGAATACTTGCAGTTTAAACATACATTAGATTCAAGGAAGATCAGTGTGTGGCTTATGAACATCATATAGAGAGTAGTAGGAAGTCACTAAAGCAGCAGTTAGCTGCAATAAAGCTGCATCTTTTCAGTAGGAAGATGATGTCCATGCTATCGAATACCTCCCTATTTGGAAAGTGTAGACAGAGACAAAGCGCCGGTGAAGGAGATGTTGCAGCAGACTATTGCTAAGATAAATGTTGGGAATATGTCTTTTTTTTGTGTGTAGTTTTTCTTTCTTTCTTTCTTTTTAGTGTGTAAGAATATTCAACATTGCTATCAATACATTTTTCAAGAAATGTGTTGATAGCATGTATTGCGATATTATTTCTTAGTTTGATTTCCTGTCTTCTTTTCATGCAGTTTTTACATTTTTTGTTATGAGCACATACATTAAATTGTCTTGTATTCATACTGTTATTTTTTGCAGGCTGAAGGGTTGTCTGAAGAATTGGTGAAATATACAAGAAGTGAGTCAAATGAGACAGAAGAAGTAAAGAGGTGGTACTGGCCGCTTGTGAAGTGTGTGACTGTCAAAGTGCCAGACAATGATTTTCTTCATCACGTCACACTCGTGGACCTTCCTGGAAATGGTGACTCTAACAGAAGCAGAGATCAATTGTGGAAAGAGGTAATTCACTGAAGTCATGTCATCTTTCTTCGAAGCATCAGTTATTTATAATTTATATGCTTTTATTTCCTTTTTAGTTTGTTGCCAGTTGTTCAACTGTGTGGATTGTGACTGAAGTGAATCGAGCAGCCTCAGAAAAAAAAGCCTGGAAGATCCTGGAAGGTGCCAGTAGCCTGCTGGGAAATGGTGGTGAGTGTCAGCAAATTCATTTCATCTGCACCAAGTCAGATAATGAAAAACCAGATGATATGTAAGTCAAATATGCCAAAAGTTTGGCACAAATGCACACGGTGACAATATACTATTTTTTTTTTTAAGAGTGAGGATGTCCATTACAACAGAAGCTAAATTCTCCCATTGTAGTAGGCCACTCTTTCAGAAAAATGACAAATTAATTTAAGAACTATTATGTATCATTTTAGAGGTATGCTAATATTACTGTTAGAGTGAATTGTTGAATGTTGTCATTTTTATGCTTGTCATCTCTACAAAAGGAATTCCACTGTCCCCCTCCCCAGATTTTCAAGGTTCTGGGTGGGGGCTGTAGTCTTTTATTATAGACACATCCTTGTGAGGGTTTCTTTTGATGTAAGCTTCCTGCTCTCTCTCTCTCTCTCTCTCTCTCTCTCTCTCTCTCTCTCTCTCTCTCTCTCTCTCTCTCTCTCTCTCTCTCTCTCTCTCTCTCTCTCTCTCTCACACTCACACACACACACACACACACACACACACACACACACACACACACACACACACACACACACACACACACACACACATTCTTACTTACATACAGAAGTTCACACATATACATACAATGCCTTGTCTTGGAACCATGTGGGCGTTGCTTTGCTGTGATGTGTTTTGTGTGAACCGTTTCTCAATAAAAGGCAGCGGGAGGAGGCCAGATTTGGGGTCATTTTCGTGGTGGACACAGACGAGGCCTCCCTTGCAAGGAAAATCGATCGATCACTGACTGTCTTGTTTTCTTCATGATGAATAAGTCTCTAGAACTAGCGGGGCTTGTGGAGACACAGACCCAACAATTACTTCTTTTTATCTAATACAACATTATTAGACATTATTAATATTACATTCTATCAGATATAACTCCTAATATCATGATATATGATGAATATTATTCTTAAAAATATGTTTACAATTATAAATTTAAAAATTTCTGTATATCTGTTTTAATAAGTTTCTAATTAGATAAATACTGTGGTGAATATTTAATTAACAAAGTCTGCAGACACAGTTGGCTACAATCAACACTCTTTACTATCATATGCATGAGAGAGTACACACAACAAGGCTCCGTTATGCAGTCCCTGAAACAGAAGTGGAGCTCTTGCTCCTTTATGTATTCTCAAGAAAATGCAGGAAGTTACAAATTGATCATACCACACATCACGCGCCTCGCTATGAAACCTAACTGAACAATGGGTATGTTGTTGGGTGCTCTTGGCATTATCAGCACCTGCAAAGGGAGTTGTGTTCTTCAACTACTGAGGCTGAAATAAGTTCATCTAGTTTTAGACTGTTCGGTGGAAGTTTCCATTACGGTGCCACAACTATGCACATAAATGCTTACACCTTAAATGAGAATAATCTGAATTTTGCATTACAGTAACAATAAAATAATTTTGCATCCAATTTTTATTTCCTTTCTAAAAGAAACAAAGTCAAGAATGCAGTGAAGAATGAATTCAAAAGCGGAAATTAATTAAGGTACATTTTTAATCTGACAGCAAAATCTAAAACAAATATCTTCTAAAACTGCCTGAAAAGTAAAAACTGACTAACAAAAATGTTCTCAGGATCACTTCAGTGAGGATTGTTTCCAAGTCTTCACAGTGAGCTCCAAAGAGTTCCACAAAGGGAGAATGTAAATCCAGATGTCAATGGTAGGTTAAGTCACTTTATGAATGAACATACAGCGACAGAAAATTTATTGCTCAGATTTATATTTCTTTTCAATTTTTTTACAGAAATACCAAAACTTAAGGAAATGTTGAAAAATCTGAATGACGCTCATTCAGAGACATTAAACTATGTGTCTGGAGCTCATGGGATTCTGTCTTTGATTCAAGGAGCCAGAAGCAGAGAAGTGGTGAGATCAGGCAATAAAGCCTCATTCATAATCTTCTTAAAGGTCATAAAATAAAAATGTTCATAGCCACTAATGTGTATTAATGTATTGTAAGGTATCCTCACATTCACTGAAAATGTGGGATGCTGGACATCATAAATCTATGTGATAATTTATTAATAGTGACTGAATACTGCTGGAGAAACTGTGGGGAAAACATGGCAGATCATTTTCATATATTTTGGAAATGCCCAATAATCCAACCATACTGGAGTGAAGTGGTCGAATCAATTTACTTGGTGACTGGTCTCAAATTAAATTTGGATTTCTGTACTGTGTATTTGGGCGATATCCCATCAGCAGCCTCCTTAAAGGACAAATATTTGATAAACATCCTGTTGGGAGCAAAAAAGCGCTTACCAGGAGGTGGCTGGAGAAAGAGCCCCCAACAAAGAAAGATTGGATAGGAATAATGGAGGAAATATATAGAATGGTATATTTTTTTTCTGGGGGTTTTTTGTTTGTTTTTGTTTTTTTGCTGTTTTTGTTTTCTTCATGTGGGTGACTGTCATAATTACAAAACTTTCAATTAAAAAAAGAATAGTGACTGAATAAGGAGAGATGATTTGGAAGAACTGAATAGTGTTTATTGAGAAACAGAATTTGATGAATATTTATTTACCAATTAGACTCCAGTCAACCAATGAGGGCACAGAAATGATGGGAGTTAGGACAGGACCCCAAGAGTCTAGTTTCTTGGCGTAGTGAAGATGGTAGTTTGGATTGGGCTCTGAGTTAAGGTTGAGGTGAAGATGGACAGGAGGCGAGTTGCATGAATGAAAGTCTGAAAGGCAGAATGACAGAAGAGCAGATAAAAGCACAGAGAACAGAAGCTGATTGGCCTGCAGAAGGCAAAAAAAAATGATTGGACTAGAGTAATGAGGTCAATAGTGTGGGAAAATAGAACTGATATAAAGAATAGACAGAGGCAGACGAATGATGACAGACTTATCTGACTGAACTTATCCAAAACCTAATTCTCTAAAATGAGTAAAGAACAATGTTTTGTTTTACTGCTTTAAGTAATGATCTTTCTTTTATTTCAGGTTGAACAACAAAATGATCTGTATGACCTCCTTGAGGGAAAATTAAGCATCCAACTTAATGATGTTAGAAAAGCAATTGAAAAAATTACAAAAGCTTTTGAACAACGCCTAAGTGAGGGGGTTGAAAATCTCTAAATGTATGTGAAAAAAACCTGAAGTCCTTCTTATACCCCAGTGTATGTATTTTAATTACAGTTAGATCAAAACCTCAGTACACTTTGTAACCATGTGTTTGAAAAATGAAATAGAAATTCTGTTTTGTTTCAGAAAAGGAGTGGCGGACCTTTTCTCATGACGCTAAAGTTTGTAGTTAGGAATGATGGTGTCCACAAACCAAAAAGAGGGAAACAAAAAGATCTCAACATGATATTAGCGTCTGTTTGACTGAAAGCATTGATAAAGAATTCAGAAAGACCTTCCCGTGAGAATAATCTAATTCTGAAGAGCACCAATATGTACAACAATACATGTATACAAATCGCACTGTATTATAAGCTTGCTAACACTGCCATTATTTTTGCCACATTCAGAAACAACCTAAAATGTGGAAATTTCAATGGGGCCATTGATGCGTTTTCACTCAGCACTGATTCATTGATTGAAAAGTACAAAAATGTCGAACTGCAACTGACATTTCTGAAGACAGAGGTAAAAGAACTTCCCTAATCATTGACTTGTTAGCTTATCTGTTATTAGAAAATCATCTTTTCAATAATGTTAATTCATATTTCATGTTTCTAAGGAAAAAAAAGTGAAGACAAAGCTCAACAAAACCATCCTCACACAAAAGAAATTTATCTACAACAGTTTGACAGAGACAATCAAGAATAACATGAAAGAATGCTATAAAGGTAAGAAAGATATGAATTAAGGTATTTCTATTCAACTGTGCATGACAATTGTTGTGTCCTTGTAGAAGCAGCAGCATTTACAGGAAAAAGCACCCTGAAGGGGATGAGGGACACTATTGAGAGACATGTGGAGTCAAAGAAGTACATGTTTGAAGATACAAAAAATGTCATGTTGAAGCAGTTGAACGATTTGAAGGTTTGTTACGTATGTACAAAAATGCCCAATCAGTCTTGAAGCACATATCAAACCAAAAGTTTGTCTCTTGTCCAGTTATTTTTGGATTCAATAGTTGCCTCTGTAAAAAGTAACAAAGTTTTTGATGATAAATTAGGAAACTGTCCTGACGACACTGGAGGAAACCATGAAGAAATCCATTAAACACTCACTCAAGACTGAGGCCTGCTTACTGCCAGGTAAACAAAAATATATAGTAAAGTATTTATGTTAGCATTAGGAATCCTCTCAATACAAATGGTAACAATACAAGTATAATAAATACAAATGCTTTGTTTTTAGATGTTTCAGAACATCTTGAGGTGGTGAAGAAACATTATGATGAACTTTATGGTGGTCAAGATTAAAAAAATAACCATACTGGGTAAATATTGAAATCTCACAAATTGTTCTGAGGGCTTTGATCATGAACTCTTTGTGCTGATTATGTTATGTGAAGGCTGATGTGCAGGCAGGAATGGTGGCAAGAAGGACCCAATGTGCAGACACTCTGAGACAAACTTAAACTCAGCTTTATTGTTGGATAGCAGAAAGGAACAGAAAACTAATTAAACTGGAAAACATAACCTAAGCATAAACAGGCAGCCAAGCAGAACACACAGCATAG